CAGTTCTCCGTATATTTTTGTGAACATAAATACATCTTTAATAAAAAAAATTCTGAAGGAAAAACTTAAACATTCAATCTGTGTATTTGATCTCTTTGAAGTATCCTTTATGAAACTACTTTTATAACAGAAATCATTAAAGTGGCATAAGAACATTTTCTACAAGTAGAGTGGTTAGATTAATTTCCTTAGGAATCTCCAAACTCAAAAAATGTTGTGATATTTTCAATACATCAGAAAGTAAACTAGAAAATAAATTACTCTGAGATCTTTCTGCAAGCCCCTTATATTCTCATATGATCTTAGTGTCAGACGTAAATAGGAAGTACTCAAACATTTGTTAAAAGATTAATTTGCTACCTGTAAAATGTGATTTGCTACCACAGAGTACTTAATAGATAATCCCCATATTCAAAATTGGATCTATACTTAACAGTAAGAAAAGAACTCATAAAACTGTCATTAGTGGCTCATCTTAATATCCCCTTTGCATTTTTTCACTCATTCCATCCCCTTAAATTTATCTGTTAAATGGTGACAATTATTAAATGCACTTCTGTTGCAGAAATAAAAATATATATATAAAAGAATAATCATTTTCACAAGAAAGGCCTTTTAGGTATCAGAAAACACTGCATTTATGAATGTGCATCTGTATCACTAAATATAGATTAATAAAATTTCTAATTCAAGAGCACGGCCCCCCTAATTAATTAATCAGTAGCCTTTTATACGTTTAGATCATTTCCAAATTTCCAGGCTTGGTTAGCAAGACCTTATTATAAAACATATTTTCACTGTTTTGTATTTCTTTAAAATAAAGAATTCTTAAACGGGACTCAGGTTTAAAGGTATGTACATTTAACAAAGTTAGCTCATTTTGCTAAATAGCCTTTAGGAAGGAAATGTCCATTTATATTCCACAACTAACTGCCAGCAAAATATTTCTTTAGCCTTAAATTTTGTCACTCTAAATGAAGTTACCTTATTGTTCTAACACTTATTTGAGTATTAGTGAGGTTAAATACATGTATCAAATGTCCTTATTTCTGGCTTAGTACTTATTTTGCTGTCCCATAGGTTCTAGTAGGAGTTTTGTCCTCATTGTCCTTTGTCTAGAGATATATTTTAATTTCTTTGAATTTCCAGTGAACTCAATAATTCAGTAATGTGTTGTTGAATCTCCACATATTAGGGGTTTTTCCTCCTTTTTCTGATTGATTTCTAGTTTGGTACCATCATGATCAGAGAACATACTTGATATGAATTCAGTCTATTGACACTTGTTTTGTGACAAAGAATTTGGTCTGTCTTGGAAAATGTCCCATGTGTACTAAGGAACAATGTGTACTGTGTACTTAGCTTTTGGAGGTTCTGTGCCCTATAAATATCTGTTTATCCCATATGGTTTAATTTTTTCTTTAATACTATCTTTGTCTGTCCTAGTTTCTGTCTGGCTGATCTACCCAATGGTGAAACTGGGTATTAAAGTCCTAACACTTCTGTGGCTATCAGTCTCTTTTTGCAGACGTGATAATAATTGCCGTATGTATTTTGATGCTTTTTTTGGTGAATATATACTAATGAGTGTTACATCTTCCTGATGTATTATTCCTTTAACCATTATATAGTTTCCATACCTGTTTCTTGTTGAGGTTTTTAGCTGGAAGTCTATTTTCATCTGCTTCAAGTTTGACTGTCCCTGCTTTGGTGTCCTGTTTGCAACTCAGATGCATTTCCTTGGAACCGCAAAATGCTGGGTCTTAGGGTCCAACTAGTATTCTGTGCCTTTTGGTGGTGGATTCAGTCTATTTACAGTTAGGGTGCTTATTGAAGATCTGCTACTGCCATCTTATCCTTACTTAGTTCTTTGGTTCTATTTTCTTCTTTTTCTTTTTTGGGTGGATGTTCTCTTGGATTTAGATATGAAAACCCCTTCCAGCATTTCTGGGAGAAAAGGTCTGGTGTTTGCAAACTTCTTCAGCTTCTGTTTGCCTGGAAAGTCCATTATTTCTCCCTCATCTGAAGGAGAGTCTTAAAAGATAAAATATTTTTGACTAGTAGTTTTTGTCTTTATTTTGAATAGTCACTCTCCCTGCCTACAGTGTTTCCTCAGAGAAGTTATACCTTTGTAGTTTGTTTCTTCCACTAGCCAGTTTCAGTGCTCTTTGTCTTAAACTATTAGAAGACTCACAACTATATATCTTGGCATAAATCTCATTACATTTTGGTAACCATGTGTTCTTTTAGCTTCCTAGTCTTGTATTTTTAGTTCCTTCCCAGGGATTGAAAGTTATCTACTGTTATTTCTTTGAATAAGTTCTGTTACCTGCTTTCTCTTTTCCCCTTCTGGAGTACCCGTTATTTTTATATTGCCATTCTTAATGTAATTGGATAATTCTCTGTTTATCTGTATATTTCTATGTGTTTTCTTTCATATTCTATTTTGTCTGTTCTATTTCTATAGCTTTGTCCAGAAGTTTTTTTTATCTTCTCTATTGATCTTTCTACATCTTTTTACATCCATCTCCATTGTTTTCCTGTTTAAATCTCAATTTCTACCATCAGTTCGTTTTATTTCTCAGAATATGCATTTGTTTTTCAGAGTTTCCTTTATTTGATCAACTTCAGTGTGTTTTTCTATGTCTTTAAATTTCTTTATTATGGCAGTTTTGAACTCTAATTGATAGGAAGAAAAGATCTGTGTCTTGTGTTTGGATTTTGGAGATAGTGTTCTCTCTTTGTCTCTTTGTGGTGAAGTTCTCCCTGGAGGACTGAAGATGCTGTGTGTTATAATTTTCCATCTGCCCTTAATGTAGCTTTCCAGTTTGTGGTTTATTTACACCCCTCTACTTCCCCCACCCCACCCCACAGAGCATCCACTTTTCCAGCAGATGGCACTATGGGTTTTGATTTTTAAAAAAAAAGAAAAACTATTCCTGGCTTGGTGTTTTTGGTATTTCAGTGCCTTGCATGTCAGGAACAGATCTGCAGTTGTTGATTCAGATAGTGGAAGTGAGGGCTGGAAGTGTCGAGGTGCATGGAGAAGACTGACATATTTGTGGCACCAATATAGTTTCTCTAAGTTTCAAGACCCATGTCTCTGGCATCTGTGTGCCACGCTGTTACTGAGCTTCACAGGATCCCCATAAGACTGAGGCTGGGGGTGGGAAAAAAGTGCCTTCCAGCACCCTGTCCTCTTCATTCGGGACCCACCTGCCACACCCCAACCCCATTGTTCATATCTCTACTTTGTTAAGGTACACCTCTACACTACTCAGCTCTCCTCTCCCTGGGACTGTCAACCAAACACAGGAAATCTGGGTTTTGCTGGATGGGTTCCTACCTTGGCCACAGTTTTTAGGCCTCAATCTCCACCTACCTTTTGTTGTATGAAGTTAAATTTCTTCAGTTCACTTTCTGGAGCAGTCAGTGCTGGTCTCTGATACCCAAAGGATGCTCTGATTTTGCCCCAAGTAATGGGACCATTTGGTTGCATTGCCCTCTGGACAACTTTCAGATTCTCCTTTGGATGCAAAGTAGGGAACCTCTGATGTCAACTTCTCTGTTTCCTCTTCCACATTTACTCCTGTAGCTTCACTTTATATGATATTGTGTTTGGGATTTTGATGAATTTGAAATGACAGGTGAAGAGTATGGTTGGTCTTTCCATTAATTTACATGTGTTTGGATTATCTTAGTTTTCCCATGCACAACCTAATGTTTATGTTTTTGTTAAGTTTTTTTATTGTTTATTTCTACAATTTCTATTTCTTTCTGTAAGTAGCCTGAATTTGAAAATGAACATTTGAATTTTTTTTTCTTAAGCTTTTGTCAGGAGTGATAAGCCCAAACTGTTCCGAGGACTGCAAATCAAGGTAAGGTGATTTTAATGGAATTCCTTTTTTCTAGCATTAGTCTCTTTTTTGAATTGAAATAACTTTCCATACATAATTAAATATATTGAAATAAGTATTTCCATACATAATTATTTCTTAGAGAAGTTTTAGTTTTACAGAAAAATGATCAGAGTACAGTGTTGCTATTTACTCTCTCTCTCTACTCCCACTCCCAACCTTAGGTTCCCTAATCATCAAGGGTTTTATATTGATGTGCTTTTGTTACAGTTACTGATACTAAATTTCATAATTTACATTGGGTTTATTCTTTGTATTGTATAATTCTAGGAATTTTGTCAAATGCATGACATATATCCACCAGTATAGCATTGTACAGAATAGTTCACCCTAAGAATCCCCTGTGTTCCAATTATTTATTACTCTCCCAACAATCATTGATCTTTATAAGTCTTTATAGTTTTGATTTCTCCAAAAGTCGTATAGTTGGAGTAGTATGTAACCTTTCTGGTTGTTGTTTTTCACTTAGCAATATGAACTTGAAATTACTCTTATCTTTTCTATAACTGGATTGCTTGTGTGTGTGTGTGTTTTAAGCTAAAAATATTAATATTCTTTTATAATATAGTTTATCTGTATACCTATGAAAGGGCATCTTGGTCACCTCCAGTTTTTGGCAATTAAGAATAAAGCTGCTGTATACATCATTTATGTGTACCAAAAAGTCTGTATACATTTTATTTCCTTATTGCATTAGTTGGGGCTTCCAGTACAATTTTCAGTAGGATGAATGGTAAGAGAGGACATATTCTTGCCTTGTTCCCAGTCTTAATGTGGAACACTTTGGAACACTTTTTGCTTTTCACCATTATATATGTATGATGTTACCTCTGCAGTTTTTGTAGTTGTTCTTGATCAAATTGATTTTGTTCCCCTTTATTCCTGATATGCTGAGTTTTTGTCATGTATTTTTTTGCCAGATACTTTTTCTTCATCTTGCTATAACCATGAGTTTTTTCTTTTGATGGTGATGGATTATATTAATTGACTTTCAAATGTTGTACCACTCTTGCCTATGTGAAATCAAAATTAGTAGTGATATATTGTTCCTTTGTGTATTGTTGAATTTGATTTGTTAATATTTTGTAAAGGATTTTTTATAGTTCAGTGTGATTTCTTGATTTCTTTTTTCTTTTTTTTTTGGACTAAATGAGGTTTTTTAATACATAATTCCATATTTTTTACCATTTATGTAGAGAACCTGACTGAAAATATTTTAGTAGTAATGTTACTGATAATTTGCTTAGTAGGCCTATACTTCTAAACTGCATTAATGAACTAAGACTACATTAAGTGTTAATAATCACAGCAGTTTGTCTTCATCTCTAAAGTTCACCCCCTTAGGAAACAGGAAAATGCGTAATTGCTAAAGACATTCTAAGAGCTTCTGAGAATCCATCTCTGCTACATTTTTAGTTAGACTATTCTACTTAGCATTGAAGGTTTACCTCTTAACCAGTGAGATCATGTAAAACACATTAACCCAGAGTTAGAATTTCTCAGAGTACTCTAGACCCAGCTAGGGGGTCTGATGTTTTAGGAATCTGGGTTAATCATAAAAATTATTATAACAAAATCATTAGATTTCTTAAACCAAAGACAGTTTGAATTCTAGCACAGAGTTATCTGGTAATTTGTATGCACAGCCTACTATAGCACTGCCATTCTCTTCCATTAATTATTTTGAACTTGTTTGCCTCTTCCATTAAATTTTGAGATCATTTGAGAGTTTTAGGGGGTGTCGTGGATGCAGTAAGTAATTGTTGCACTCAACAATAAGTAAATCCAACGGACACCACCCGGTCTTACTATTTTTGAGTCCCATTTTTATGAAATCCTATTAAACCCTTCTCTGAATGACTTCCTTTAAGATCCATTGTGATGTTTTATCTGAAAGTTTTTCTCTTTTATTACTATTAAATAGAATTAGGCTGAATTCAACTGGTTTGTATCTTAGTGGATACTGAAAACGCTCTTTCTAAGCAGAAAATAATGGTCATCTTCCTTTTTCTGTAGTATGTTCGTGGTTCAGACCCTGTACTAAAGCTTTTGGACGACAATGGGAACATTGCTGAAGAACTAAGCATCCTCAAATGGAACACAGACAGTGTAGAAGAATTCCTGAGTGAAAAGTTGGAACGCATATAATCCTAGCTTATATTTTGTCCTATCCTTTTGTTACTTTCTTAAATGAAATATTACAGCACCTAGAAAATCATTTAGTTTTGCTTCCTTCCGTTGATCAATCTTTTACTGTGAGGCATTAAACATCTAATTAGAAGTTGAAGTGGCACACAGCCCATGATATCTAAGGAGTTGGCAAGCTTAACAAAACCCATTTTTTATAAACTTCTATCCTCCTACATTTGTTGATACTACTAACGAAGTGCTTTGTAATAGACTTGTGGTTAATTATGCAAATGATAGCTTGTAATAATTGGTCCAATTTTATGAACAACAGATTTTTAAATTAGGGAGGTTAATAAGGGAAATGATTACTATGCCTCATGTGCTGTGTGCTCTTTGAAAGTAATGACAGAAAACCACAAAACAAGTAAGATACGCTGAGCCTCAACAGATTGCTTGCCCCTCGTATTCTCATGTATTTTTGTATTACCCAGTATAGTTTATAATGTATTGCATAAAAACTATCACTTCATTATTGTGAAACACAGTCAAGATCTACTGTAAGAATGAAGTATTCAAAGATTTGCATTAATGAAAACTACACAGAAAACCTTCCAGAGGATTTGTGTGGATCTGATGTTTAGCAAATTTTTGTGCTTTATATTCTTAGAGGAAAGTCAATTTGAATGTTAATTTGTAAAGCCAAATATGAATTAAAAAGTATCTGAATTTGAAATTTGATTTGTCCTTTTCATGTTTAAAAATGAAAAGTTTGTCATCTTTTTTCTTTTTTAATTTTCTTTTCATGTAAGCCTCTCTTTTTAGCCAAATGTTTAAATGGTTATGCTACTTAAGCCTTAGTAACTTTTTATTGGCAATAGTACTTTGTTTAGTCATTTAAATCTCTTATTATCAATAATGTCCCAAATTGGTCTCATCTTCTAATATATTCTTAATTTTTGATTTTAACATTAAACCATCTTAGTGAAGGATATTTGAAATCTTTAAAGACATCTCTGGCACAGAATATTTATAGATTATTTTTGGTAGAGATTAGTTATCAATCTTTGCAATTTGTATTAAGTCACGTTTTAAATTAGGAAGTATGTTTTTAAAGCCAGCGAGAGAATAAAAGCCTGGGCAGTTTGGTTAATCCAGACAAAATAATATGAGAAATCATCTGTAGTAACGGAAGGTGCCATCATTTTAGTAGTTTAAGGCCTTACAAAATATGGCACAAATCCCTGATGTTGGCTATAACTTCACAACCAGAGGCGAGTGAAGCCAGCCATCGGCATTGGGGGCGGGATTGGGGGGGGTGGGCAAAGGAAGGGTTGCCGCCACAGACAGAAGAACAGTGGGATAGGAGGAATGACATTTCAAAAACTTTTAAGATTGGAATAGAAAAATAATTGAGCTAGTGTCTGGGCAGGATGAGCCAGCTAAATGAGTATCTGGCATTGGGCTTTAAAAAATAAAGTGAAGAGAAGCCTCAAAAAATCTATTATCCTCAAGTTATTATGAGGGATCAAAAGGAGCTGGTCAGAACCCCATGGTATCTTAGTACTTGAAGTTATTGAATCAATGAATAACGTATATCAACCAGGCTTCACTCTTTTAATTGGGATGTTTGAGTTAATCAACCAGTCCCAATCAAAAAACTGTTAGAAGCCTTTAAAGAAACAAAATCACTGATTACAAGAAAGGGGTATAAATACTGATCCAAAAAGTACCATTTTGTAGCCAATTTCTGACATTTGATTAAGCTTATTCAACTTCACAAGTGCAGATATGTAATAGTCACTTGATATTTATAAATCTGCTCTCCATGCCAAAATTATGTTACTTATAACCTAAAGCAGTTAATTTATCTCTAAATTTCTGAATTTGGCAACAGCCACTTACAAGAAACTATGAGCAAGAACTGACATTTCCTGTCTTAAGAGGATTTGAGACATGAAAGCCAGTCTAAAATTAAAGTTAAAAAAATGCAGAAACTACTTTTGAAAGCAAATACTGCTAAACTTTGGAAATTAAAATTGGCAGTAGCTAGTATGTGAAAGCATGTCTACAAATATATGGGAAATAGAGGAGTACATATTCCAGATATGAGCACAACTAGGTATTTCTTTTATTTGAAAAGTAAAGTACATTTTACTTAATTAAGTATTGATAGCTTTCTGGCTAGAAAGGACCTACATTTGTGATTAAAAATTGAAAATAGACTTACCATTGTAGGAAACTGTAGTCAATCCTTATCTTATATAGTCTATTTTATATATATTTGTAAATGTTCCTGCTTTTTGAAAATTATAACCCTACAGTCATACCCATAGTGCTCTTTCACTTGTAGATGTGCACAGAACAGTGAAATATTTTAATCATTCAGTACACACATTTCCAACCAAAGTTTTAAAAAGATGATCTTCTGCCTTGTTTCAGCTTGCATCTTGTAAAATTACAGCTTTTCTCGGTCTGTTTAGTGCAGCATTTTTCTCTTTTGTGCTTTTCATTGATCTCGTTTAAAATCACCCCCAAGCATAGTGCTAAAGAGCTGTCTAATCTTTCTTATAAATTCAAGAAGACTGTGATGTGCCTTATGGAAAAAATACATTTTTTAAATAAGTTTTGTTCCAGCAGCATGAGTTCAGTGTTAATAAATAAAGGGTCTAATTAGAGGCATATAAAACTTACTTATATATTGCTAGGTTCACAAGCATGACCAGAGATTTCCATAAGCATGATCCTGTATTTCCCCCAAAGAACAACAGTTCGGTATTGGCCAATTTAGTATTTGCAGCAATTGAACAGAATATAAACACCATGAATAACACTTTTAAACATTTTGAAAAATAATTCACAGTTAAAATTCACCAACTTGAGTATACAATTCATGTTAGATTTACAAGAGTTGTGTAACCACAATATAAATATAGAATATATTGTACCCTTTAGCAGTCACCGTCCCCACTACACACCCCCAGCCCAAGACAACTACTAATCTGCTTTCTGTCAATGTATTTGCCTATTCTAGACTCTCCATATAAACAAAGTCATAGGACACATGGCCTTTTGTATCTGATGTTCATTTAGCGTGTTATCAAGTTTCATCCCTGTTACAGCATGTATGAGTACCTCATTCCTTTTTGTGGCTCAGTAGTATTCCTTATGACTACCACAATTCATTCTTCAGTAGACACTGAGTGTTTCCCAGTTTTTGGCTATTAGGAATGATGCAGCTACATACAGCCGTACAAGTTGTTGTGTGGAAATAGTTCATATAAAACTAGCAGTGAAAATGTCATACACTGTTTAACTTATGAGGAACTGCCAAGCTTTTCCAATGTGGTTATACCACTTACATTCTCAGCCAGTTACACACAAAAGGTTCCAGTTTCTGCACATCCTAGATTTCTTGATCCCTCATTGAGTGCTCATTTTTTGATCTTATCATAGAGGTATGTTAAGTTTTTTGCCTTCCACTAGATTAAGACTGCAATTACATTTTTATTTCTTAGATGGAATATTTTATTCTCTCAGTTTTACCTGTCTTTTCTACCTTCTCCTACTTTACTGGGTTTTAACTCACTTTTCTCTTGTCTAACTTCAGTCATAAAAGAAAAACTCATTCTTACAACTGTATGTAATTGCAATTATGGTAAAAGGTATGAAGAAGAAATAGTAATTACAAAGAAGACTGATGAATTTAATATGAAAAATGTTATACAGGAAGGAGTAGACTGAAACACATTCTAGTCAGAGGGAAAAGCATGTGCAAAGACCCAAATTTGGAATAAAGGCTTCACCTTAGCATGCCCAAAGAAGGCCAAATGTATCTGAAAACCAGTGAGCCTGAGAAAAGTGGGGCAGAAAATGAAGTTGGAAAGGCAAGGAGGTTAGAGTCATTACCTCTTAAGTATATTAGTTGCTTTTTGAATTAAGTCAGAAAACACAAAAGTGTAGGCATGGGGAATGATAAAATTTAGTAAGGTCAACTCTAATAGAGGTCCTGAAGAGTGAGCAAATATTCAATTATGCCAATGTAAACATTTAAGTGCCCTCAGTAATGATTAATAAACACTTTCGGAAGCTCTAGTATATATTTTGCTTTTAAAGCTGCTATCAATTTGTTTTGAGAACAAAAGAGACAAACCTATGCATAAATTAAGTTGACCTGATTCCATTGTTGATTAATGTATGTATTTAAAGGGTTCCTAGAATAGGCACTGTTTATATGAACACTTGGAAGTGTCTGTTCACATCAGCCTTATCCCGTCATTGCCCCCTGAGCACCAATCTCATTTATGGCTCCAATGAAAGATTGTAGAGTCGCAGTTTTGGAAGTATTTGACTCATTATGACAGTCTTCCTGTTACCACCTCCCCTCTAGTACTATAACTCCTGGAGCTGGTTTTTACCTCCTACACTCAGACTTTTGACCTGGGTCCCTGATTTCTGTTGCCTGATCTCCCCTATCATAAAAGCTATTTGACCCAAACAGACCACCCTGCTTACCATTCCAGGTTTTGAGATCTATTCTGGCCTGAATTGTGCTTCCACTTCTTGAATATCTGTATACTGACCCACAGTTCAGATTGCTCGTTTTTCTGTTTTCCCACCTACCTTGATTCTGTGGATAACACCTAACTCACCTACTTAAAATCCATATATCTTTTGTGTGTCCCCAGGTAAAATGCATAAATGTTACACTTCAGCTTAGCCCATAATACAGGACTCTTGAGTTCTTCCCCATATGAATTGACATCTCTGTCCAGCTCTACCTCTTTTCTGTCCATATGTGCTAGGTTTTACCCCAAGCACTGACCCCAGATCACAGTCTTGCAGTGGATTCTATTGCTGCATAACAAACCACCCCAAAACTGAATGGCTTAAAATAACCATTTTACTTATTTTGCTCACAGGCAAAGTGCAGTGAGGACAACTCATCTGCTCCACAGGCACCAACAGCAGTAGCATTAATGGGGCAGCAGGATCCACTGGCAAGTCAGGTCACTCACAGCAGGCTAATCCACACTGACTGTAAACTCCTTTCCATTAGGCAGCTCCCTCAGCATGGTGACTAGGTTGCAAAAGCAAACATCTTTTTTGCTTATTTACTTATTTATTTTTATTTTACTTTTTTAAAAGGTTTATTAGAGATAGGAAGGGAGAGGAAGATGCACAGACACAAGCAGGTAGAAAGCTCCAAAAGCAAGCATCTCTAGAGGCAGAACAAGGAAACTGCCAATTTCTTGAGGCCTTACACTGGCACTGTATTGATTGGATCAAGTAGTCACAGAACCCAAGTTCAAGCGAAGAAGACATCAAACTCACTGGAGGTGTTATGAAAAGAATTTTGGAACCATATTTTAAAATCCCCACACCTACTCATCTATACAGCCCACGATACTTGGGTGACTTTTTTTTTTAAAGGATTTATTTATGCATATAAGAACTGAGGTACAGGCCAGAGGTACAGGGGCAGTGAGATGATACACCAGAGACAGAGTGGAGAGCAGAACAGGCAGATTGACTGAAATATACAGCTAAGGGGAACAGCAGGTGATTGAATTCATGCTGCTGTGGCTGGGGCTAGCCTCACAGTGCTGCACTGTATTTAACCCATTGTGCCATCAGGACGGGCCTCTTTTCTTTTTTTAGTGTGTTTCTTTGGCTTACAGTGCTTTTTTCTCACTTCAAACTAGCTTTTATGGCAATTTGAGAAATTATTAGTTC